TAGGATTGCCATGTGATTTCAGCTTCTACTCACCACCCTCCTTATTTGTGTATGCAGACTATTCTAATTAAGCTACTATAAAAGAACAAGGATTGATTTAAGATGCAAATAGTATGCACAAGGCAGTTAAAGGCAAAATGATGTTCGGATTCCAGCCTGAGTGATGGTTTCCTGGTGATTCAAATGGCAGGGGAACTGAGCATGTTGTTGGTGTAACATAAGCACCGTGAACCTCAAAGCAGCTGTATGGCAGCTGTCAGCACCATCTTCATGTTGCCAGCAGCAGTTTTCCAGCAAGACAGTATCATCCATCTCATTATTGTTGTTAATTTGAATGTTAGTGGTTTTATACTTTTATTGGTATGTAAATTATAAATCTATTTCGATGTAAACATACAAAGATTAGGTCAATTTTCCTTTTTTTCTTAAGCAACATAATACAGTTATTTACGTCAATGTTTGGGATCTGCAATTTTTTTTAAGAGACTTTGTACATCACTGGAGAAACTCGGAGTAGTACAAAGAGCATCAGCTCCAGAAGTCAGGTTATCTAAGTTCTAAGTGTAGCTTTGACAGTAACCACCTGTAGGGCTTTGGACTGGTCGTCTCACCTCTGTATCCCTCAAGTTTGCTCATCTGTAGAATGAAAGGGTTTGACTGTGTGATCTTTAGATTCTCCTCTAGTTCTCAGTTCTGTTCTTCAAAGGTCAGGAGCCCTTATTTGGAAACGCAGCCAGGCACTGGTTTGTGCTATTTGTTCTCTGAGACTGAAGCCTGACGTCATTGTAATTTTAGCCAGAGACTGTCAAGATCAGCACGAAGCTGCTTCTAGCTGCTCTGACCCTATGGAGGAGCAGAAAGGGGCCTCCTTAACTCTTGTTGGCTCAGATGCAAGGTACACACTTTGGATGTCCCTGGTATGTGGCAGTGATCCGTCACGCGGCCTGGGGAGGGTAGGGTGTCATCAGAAACAGGGCTTCTCAATCCAGTGAACTTCCCTGTCTGGAGCTCCACCCCACTTGAGAACCAGGTTGAATTAGACCGTGTTGCTGCTGGCACTGGATCAGATCCTCTGGGGTGTGGCACAGAAAAATGGGAAGCAGTTTAGAAAGTTGTCTTTGGATTGTGCTGAATGGTGTTTCTGGAAGATTCCCACAGGCAGAGGTCCAGCTGCAAGCAAGTCCTAGAGGCTTTGGCAAATCAGCCTGGCGAATTCTAGAGGGGCTAAAAAAGTCTCCACTCCTTCCTCTTTCTCCCTCTTCTCTTCCTCATCCTCCGCCTTATACCCACTCCCTTCTGCTCCAATACCTAAACCTTACTGGAACCCACCGTGTGTGATTCTAAGGTTTTCACATATATTTTCTCATTTTATCCTCACCACACATCCTAAGGGCAAATCCTTTTTTTTTTTAAATTGAAGTATAGTCAGTTTACAATGTGTCAATTTCTGGTGTACAGCATGTTTCAGTCATATATATACATACACATATTTGTTTTCATATTCTTTTTCATTATAGGTTACTACAAGATATTGAATATAGTTCCCTGTGCTATACAGAAGAAACTTGTTTATCTGTTTTACATATACTAGTTAATATTGGCAGATCTCGAACTCCCAATTTATCCCTTCCCATCCCCTTTCCCACCGGTAGCCATAAGATTGCTTACTATGTGTATGAGTCTGTTTCTGTTTTGTAGATAAGTTTATTAATGTCTTCTTTCTTTTTTTAGATTCCATATATGAGTTATATGGTATTTTTCTTTCTTTTTCTGGCTGACCACTTAGAATGATGATCTCCAGGTCCATCCATGTTGCTGCAAATGGCATTATTTTACCCTTTTTTTATGGCTGAGTAGTGTTCCATTGTATAAATACAACACAGCTTCTTTATCTTGTCGTCTGTTGATGGACATTGAGGTTGTTTCCATGTCTTGGCTATTGCAAATAGTGCTGCTGTGAACATTGAGGTGCATGTATCTTTTTGAATTAGAGTTCCTCTAAGGGCAAGTACTTTTATCATTTTATTGGTACACCTTTTCACATCAGGACTCTGAGGCACAGAAATTCAAGTTGCCCACATTCATGTGGGGAAGATATCCAGGGTACACCCTTGGGTGGTTGGGCTCTGGAGTCGGGCTCTTAAACATCTTTTCTGCATTGCCAGCACAGACACAAGGACAGGCAAAGGCGCTATTGAGCACCGTGGACCACCGACCCTTGGGCAGGCCTTATGGGTCTGAACAACACAGCTCAACAATCAATTGTGGACCGAGTAAAGGAAAGAGCTCCTAGGCTGGGGTGCTGACTGCTCCTCTGTGTTCTCCAGCGGGGAGCTGGGTCATGCCTGCCAGGGATCCGCCTTCTGCGGCAGGAACAGGAATGTCCCCAAGCAGCCCATTACTCTTGCGTGAGGCCGATTTGTAGCTCTAACCCGGAAAGAACCAGGTCTCTCTGCAAGGCTGTCGCGGTGACCAGGAGAGCTGGCCAGAAGCGCACTAGCACCATCAGCGGCCGCCACCTGGGGGCGCCCCTAAGCGTAGAGGCCAGAACCGCAAGTTCCCACGCTTGGGGCAGAAGAGGGCAGGGAACCCAAGACCACAGAAACCGCGGCAACTGTGGCCCTGAGGGCCACTTACGGGTATTCTTTAGCACGCTCACATCCCAGTAAGAGGGTGAAAAAGTGAAGAAGTAAAAAAAATTTTTTAAGTTTTTTCTATTCCTTCTCCTGTTTAAAGTTGCCAGTTGGATTCAAAAACAATGCCAGCCACTCTTGATAAAATTTGCAGATGAAAACTTTAAAACCCAGGATCATTCTGGGTGGATATCTGTATTTTATGCCATGACATCATCATGAAAGCTATTTAATTTAAAAAAGAAGAGATGTATTTCTGCTTTTTGATTGTTTTGTTTCTAATTCACCAAAGAACTCACTTACCAGGCTGTTCGTTTTAGGACAGAAGGCTGGAAACCCTACCCCTACCCACAGGAGTCCTTCTGAGACCACAGTTACCTTCCCTCCCCTCATCCCTGCCCAGAGGGGAAAGAAAGGGATCTACTTTTGGTTATTGATGTGTTGGGGGAGCGGGGAACCACTTCAGACCTTGTGACAGAGCTCGTTTATCGTAGATTTACTGCTGGTACATATTTACGTGTTTTACAAGCAGTACCCTCTGGTCCCTGGCAGTGAGATCGCAAGCTGAATGAGTACCATATGCAGCATTAATACCAGCAAAGGGCCGTGGAGATGGTTTCCAGCACTTGGTCAATCTCCTGAAGTCCTAACCTGCCTCCAGCTGTTCTTTCCTCTGCTGTTGGCACAGCTGTGGCTCGGTTCCCCGGCTGCTGTGATGTTTACGCCGGTGTCCTTAACATCAGAAGACAATCACACATCCCTGTTAGGATACCTCCTTCCCTGCAACCTTTTCTGAAAGGCTGCTCAAACCATTGCAAAACAGATGTCTTAATCTTTCCTACAAACTTTTCTGTTTGACAAGTACGCAATAATAGTTGCACATATTTTGTAGAACATTGTGAATGAACACACTAATTAGGTGGCGTAAAGAGAGGCCCCAGCAGAGTGGAAAACACACATTGCTGAATGCACTCAGGACTAAGGATGGAGCGGCAGAGAGCTTGCCTGCGGCAGGTGACTGCTTGTGCCCACTGGCCTAGAGCTGCCCTAGTCCTCACCAGGCACGGGACTCAGGACACGAGGAGTATTTGTGTCATTCGGGTGGATATGAACAGTGTACTTGTTGGAGTGTTGCCATATACAAGTATAGTTTGTTATAGCAAATTTAAGGTATGGGTTCAGAGCTAGTTAGCAGCAGAGCTGGAACTAGAATTCACTTTGATCCCCAATCCAATATTCATTCTTTTTCAATAAACTGTCTTAAAATAATGAAGACATTGTCCTACTCTTTTCTACCTGCTCTGCCAATCCTACTCTGTGGAATGACTACTAGTAGCAAAATTTGCTATGTATCTTTTCAGCCTTTTTTTTCCCCCTGTGTGTGTGTCATTTTTTTTTTAAACTAAATACAGGTCTATATCCATATTGTTCAGCAGCTTACTTTCTTAATTCAACAATACATGATGTACCTTCTTCCGTGTCATTACTTACAGATCTGCTTCATTACTCCCTTTCCCCCAGTTTTATTGCAGTATCACTGAGTACATCGTATGTGCATACATATACCTCACATATTTAACATGTAGTTTGATCAGGTGTTTTTTTGTTTTTTGTTTTAGGAAAATGTCTGGGAAGAATTCCTTCCTTATTTTTTGAGGGGGATGGGGTGGGTGGAATTAAGTTTATTTATTTATTTTTCACGGCAGTACCAGGGATTGAACGCAGGACTCTGTGCATGCTAAGCACGCACTCTACCACTGAGCTATACCGTTCCCCCTGTTTGATCGGTTTTGACATTATGTGTACACTGGTAAGACCATCGCCACAGTGAAGGTAACATATCCATTGTTTTCAAAAGCTCCTCATGCCCCTAGGTAATCCATGGATTACTTAGAAGCAGAATTGATAAAATATTTCATTCCTTCTAATGGTAACAAAATGTTGGACCTGTGGTAGATTAAAAATGCTGAGGTTTCCAACCGCAATTATTGGATGTTGGAAAAGTTTATACTCTATAAAGTTTCTATCTAGGCTGTGGAAAATGTCAACATGTAACAAGAAAATCACAGTCCATACACTCCACCCAGACTGCCCAGCTGCGAGCAGAGACAGGCAGTATATCCTGGAGCTCACGAAGGCCCCTGTCGGCAGGGTAGCTGTGCTCAGTTGTCAACAACACGTAACAATAAAGTTATTGATGTTGAGGAAGAGACTTCCGGTAGGGGTATCTCTATTTCCGTTAGGGCTTATATCCTTCGCCCTCTCCATCTACACCCCGACCGGAAATACTTTTACCCCTTTAAAAGCCACGTCGGTCCTGGCCTCAGTCCCGCCCACGCAGGGGGGAAGCACTTCCGGGGTCAGGGTAGTCCAGCCCGGCCCGCCCCTCCGCCGGTGCCGTGTTGGAAGTCGCGACTGTCCCGGAAGTGGAGCGGGCCTCTCTCTGTCGGGGTCCCGACCTCCCGGCTGCTGCTGCGGGCAGCGGGGGCGGCGGCGATGGCGGAGGCGGCGCTGCTGCTGCTGCCCGAGGCGGCGGGGGAGCGGGACGCTCGGGAGAAGCTGGCTCTCTGGGATAGGAGACCGGACACGACGGCGCCGCTGACCGACCGGCAGGCGGACTCGGTGCTGGAGCTGAAAGCGGCGGCCGAGGACCTGCCGGTGCCGGCCGAGGTAAGGTGACGGGCGGGAGCTGGGCTGGCATGCTCTGCGGCCGCGCTGACGAACCCCGGCCTTGCAGACCCCTGTCCAGGGTCTGTCTCCTCTCCTCCCCGGTCACGGTGGCGGGTCGGTGGGAAAGGTCCCTCACCTTCTCCGACTGTCAGGCCTCACGCTGCCCGCGACCGCCGACTCTCCCCTACCGCGCGGGGAAGGCTGCGGGGGCGTCCAGTGGCTGGAGGCCGCCGGCACCCAGCCCTCCCCCTGCGGCTTGGGACGGTTGGCCCGGAGCATGGTTCTGGGCGTCCTGCCCCGGGTGTCCCTGGTGTCAGCGAGGCACAGTCCTGTTGCCCACCCTTTCCCGGAAGGAGAGGGCACTGAACCCGAAGTGCTTTGCTTCAGGACAGCCTCTTACTAGTATTCGTTTACCAGTTTAATGAATAACTCAGCTTCCTTTTTCCATAGGGGCACTTGGGGAGACCAAACTTGATACTGAGTGATAGTTTCATTCATCGCACATTGAGCAGTGAGCTCTGGATCAAGTGCAGGTTGTGGAGATCCGATTCATATTTGCTGTAGCAAAGCAATAATAAAAATGGGTTTTCTTTAGAAGCTGGATCAGTACATTATTAAATAATGCTAGTGTTCGGTTTTAGTGTCAACGTTTTAAATCCTAATTTCCATTGAGACATCATGCATGTTACTGCTTGTGTGATTCAATTCAGTTACTTATAATAGCCAGAAGTACGTTTTATCAATTGTCAAATGTTTTACAAACTGTTTCTTGTTTTGAGGGCCAGGTTTAGGAAGATTGTTTTACTAATAAGGATAGTTATTTTTTAATGTTGGAAGCATTCTTTTTACGATTTGGAGTTGTGTTCAAAGGCAGATTGAGTTTACAGACTTAAGCTTTTTTTTTTTCCCCCTTGCCTTCACACTTAAGAGGTTAAGAACTCTTTGAAAGTTCTCTCCACTTTCAGTGTTGCACGTTCTGCCGTAAAGTACAGGTGTTTTTTCTTGGGTTTCTCTGTCTACCTCTAGGATTCTGTGCTGGAAGTGGGTTTGAAATAAATGAGGAAGCAGGTGGAAATTTGCTTTGGCGTGGCTGTCAAAGTCTTTTAGGCTCTGGATGATAGAAATTGTTTGCTCTATAAATGTTTGAGTCTGTTTATAATTGATTTGGCCTATTACCAAAGCAGAATGCTTGGACATCACAGCATCTGTGGCAAACATATTCCACAAGAAAAGTAACCCAATTTGTTTTTTATTGTCTTGAATCATACAATATTATTATTCTCATTGAGCACAAAGGAAAGGATTTGAAGTGTAGTTAATGGAATCTCTTCATTTTCACCCCATTATTTGTTTATGCAATATCTACCATTAGTCTCATGCAATCACTTACCATGAATTATGTGCCTATCCTGGGCTGGGAATTGAGGATAGAAAGATAAGAAACACAGGATCTCTTGCCTCGTGGAGCTGACATAATTATAGTGATCATGAGCAGGTTAAAAAGAGCAGAGAAGGTAAGTTCAGAAGGTGGTTTATGATCTAAGGAAAATAAAACAGTATGGTATGACAACAGGGGATGAGGTGTGCCCTTTTAGATAAAGAGGGAAGGCCTTTCTGAGATAGTAACGGTCTAAGGTGAGACCTCATGATGGAAAATGAGAAAAATAAGCTTCCAGCTGGAGGGAAAAAACAATGCAGAGTCATAGATAGGGGATGAACTTCACCAGTTCAAGGGTTCAGTGAAGGTCTTCCGGTACATGCAGCCTTGGTATGAGATTCCTGTGAGAATGAAGTACCAGCCTGTTATTTACCCATCCTGGAATCTTTGAGAGGGAGGTTCTCGTTGCTTTTCAACTTTTCTGCAGCCCTCATTTCCCTTTATATGGCTGGTAGGAAGACTCTGGAATTGAATTTTTTATTGCTGTTACCACTCTTTTAACACCGACAGTGAGGAAGCATGTCTCAATTTTTATTTTGCCCAACCAGTGTATCTGTGAAGGATTTTCTGTGAAGTTTCACAATTTTCAGGAGATAAATTACTTCCTGAACAACTGGAACAGAACACGTTAGTTAAATAGCAGGAAGCCAGCTAGCTCTCAGCAAACATCATGAAGCTGTTAATAGCTTTCTTTTTTCTGAAGAACTAATCATATCTTGGAAAGAAGTTATACCTTTTTATTTGGTGTTAGATAAGAGAATTTGATGTAGAATATTAGGCAGTCTGGTTTCTTGTAGCCAGGGCAAACCTTTTAGTAGTGAGGGCCTTTTTCTTTCTACTGCATTTAGTAATTCTCAATAAAATGCTGAGGTAATTTACACTGAAATTTACCTGTAATTTGCTGTTCAAGTTTCTGTTTTTCTAAGGGCTTTGTGGCCTTAGACATGATTCTTAAATTCTCTGAGCCTCTTTTCTTCTTTATAAAATGAAGGTGATAATAGTACTTGCCTCACAGAAGAAGAGAGAATTAAATAATGTATGTGAGGTACACACAGCAAGCTACCTGCTAGTATTTTATTATTCATATGCTTTCCCCTCTCATATGAATAGTACCTTAAAAGAATAGATTAGAATCATGATCCTGAGCTGGTATTGGTGTCACGCAGACCAAAGGTAAGAAAGAAGAGATTAATTGCCTTGTGAAAGGTTCTGAGACTCCGTCTCTACCTCCTCAGTGATTTGCTCCAAACAGAGAAGGTAACCTGAGGTTTCTTTCAGGGAATGAATTAATTAGATTGATAACAAAAGTGATTTTCTCCAGCCCAGAATCAGGTAAGAAATAAAGTTTGGGAGAGAAAGGTATATTGTTTTTTTCCTGGAGTTGCTCAGCTGGTCAAGCAAGGCTTGATAATTTATTGTAATTAGTATTTAGAATGTTGCTGTCCCCTTTTGTATAAACTGTACAGTAGCTCCCTGGGACTAGCAACCAGGAACCGAGGTCTATGCTCCTCTCTTTAGGGTGGTGAATGTCTGCTCCATCTGGGAGCCAGGACAGTGTGAGTGAGCCAGGGGCATTGTCATCTCCTAGTCAGGAGTGAATGACAGGTCAGAACAGGGAAGTTTGTGACACCACTGCACCCTTCTTTTTTATTTTTTTAAATTTTTTGGGGGGGGGAGGTAATTAGTTTTTTATATTTTTATTTAATTTATTTTTAATGGAGGTACTAGTGATTGAACCCAGGACCTTGTGCATGCTAAGCACGCACTCTACCACTGAGCTGTATCCTCCCCTACCACCACACCCTTCTTAACTTGCCATTCTATCCCAGGTGCTTTGAGAAGACAGCTGGGCAAATGCCCCTACTGGGGGACATCTTCTCATAAACTCTTAAAAAGCAACTTGTTTTGTTACTTTAAAAATTTGTTTCTTAGAAGGGGTTGCAGTGTGGTTTCTCTCTTGCTTGGCTTGAGACAAAATGGTTTTTTATTAAAGCAAGTGAACAGGAGGCCTTCTGCTTCTGATATTTGAAAGTCTGTATGACTGGGAAGTAGTCATTTGTGCATGAACCAATCAAATAGAATGCTCTTTCATATATTCAAATTATCATGTTTACTTACAATGTCTAGATTGCAGATTATATCTGGAATATCTGTAGTGCCTTCTCAAGTAGCCAGAGTTTTCATATGATTTCATTTTCTAAAGTACACTGGAAGATTTTTTTTTGGTTCAGAATGACAGACTAAGCACGTGTGTGACACCCTGGGATCCTTTTGAATGACAGTAATAAATGTGAAGCACATCCAAAACACAGATGGTATCAGTAAATCTGCAATTTTGGTAAATTTATAAGAGTTAGGAAGCATGTAGTATCATTAAAAAAATGAATCTAAAGACTTAATTACAGAACAAAGTGTAAATATTACAGATTTTGACAGTCTAAAAAAGAGATGGTATAGGTGACAATATTTGAGAGTAAACATAAAAGGACATGTTAGGGGTACTCATTTCTTCATTTTATGTCACGGGGAGTCAGTAGATAAGACCATCAATTGATAAGTTAAAACACAATGCTTTGAATCTGTGTTACGAGTTATGGAGTAACCAACAAAAATATTGAAAACAGTTAATTAGTTAAAACGGGGTAGGGAGGGTAGCCCAGTAGTAGAGTGCATTCTTAGCATGGACTAGGTCCTGGATTCAGTCTCCAGTACCTCCATTTAAATAAACAAACAAACAAATAAATAAGCCCCCCAAATAAATAAATGTACTTTAAAAAAATCTTGCAAAAAATTAGTTGAAAGTGGAGGTAGGGGAGAAGTTTACTTTTCATTTAACTCTTCTGATGATTTGGAAAAAAAATACATTCATGTGTTTTGAATAATATCTATAAAAGAAGATTGATAAAAATTCCAGATTATCTCTTTGGTTCCTTCTTCTTTTAAAGTTCTTAATTTTGCCTTCGAATTCCTTAGAAATATTTCTCAAACTGTAATAAACATTGGTATTGCTTCAGAGAAGAGGGGAAGAGGGAGACTTGGTTTTCACTTAATCATCCGATACTCCTGGACTTTTATTAGTGTAAAAGGTCCATTATAGGTTAATGACAGAGAGTTATGAATTTAAAGGAAGAAAGTAAATTCCATCTTTTCCTTATGCTCTGTTGAAAATGCTGCATATCAAATGAAAAAGGCAAAGTGTGTATAATTGCTGTTATTTGGGTTAAAAAAAAGGTGCACTTCCTTTGTATATGGATAGACTGCCTTAAGAAAGCTTCCTGAGGTGCTAGTTAACATTAAGAGCCTCTGAGGAGGGAGCCGAATCGTTGGGGAATGAATGGGTCCATGGGAAGAAGACTTTTCATTGAATATCCTTTGTATCTTGTGCCACCTGAATTTTTTACCTGTTCAAATAAATATGTTTTAAAAAACTGCCATATATATTACAAACGATTCTGGGAATTAATTTTTTATCTGGAATTTGTTATATATTATGAAGTAGTACCAGAATTAATGCGTTGTAAGGCCTCATGAACTTAGGAGAATATGATTATTACATTACTTTTTCATTTTGCAAAACTATAGTACGTGGTATCACAGTCAGGATTTTGACATTGATCTACATTACTTTTTTCTACTTTTATTAATTGTAGTAAAAAATACAGAAGTAAAACTTGTCATTTTAACCACTTTTAAGTGTACAACTTAGTGGCGCTTAGTACGTTCACATTGTTGTGCAACCATCACCACTCTCCGTCTCCAGATCTTTTTCATCTTCCCTAAACTGAAACTCCATACCCATTAAACAGTAACTCTCGATACTCCTAGCTCCTGGAAACCACCATTCTGCATTCTTTCTCTATGAATTTCACTACTCTAGGTACCTCATATAACAGGTAAAATACAGTATTTGTCCTTTTGTGACCAGCTTATTTCACTTAGCATAATGACTCCAAGGTTCATCTATGTTGTAGCATGTGCAGGATTTCCCTTATTTGAGAATGAATAATAGTCCCTTACATGACCTACATTACTTTTTAAGATATGTTTATAACCTTTTTTTTCTCAAAATAAATTGAATTAAAGATAGATGTGGGTCTGTTAAGTGCTTTATCTTTTGACAGTGAGTTTTCTTCCCCCTTTTTAACGTGCCTTTTGGTTGAATACTGGACATTATGCAGGACATCTGAGAATGAGAAAAATAGTATGAATGGCTGGAAGTGAGTACACTTCTGTTTGGTTATTAGTGTCGGGAGTTGAATCAGCCTAGTTAGGAGTTGAGCTAGGGTTTTGATGTTGTTCTGGGTGTTTTTAGTTTACCAGTGGCTTCAAACTTCTCTCTTGCTACCTTTTGTCTGGTGTTGGGGCTGGGTTGCTGCAGGGTGTTCTTAACCCTCCTCCTCGACCCTCAGCTTTTGGTGTGCTCTGTGCCTGTGTCTCAGGGTGTCTGTGCTTCTGCCTCTCCCATGGCGGTGGATTGCTGCTGCCGGGTAGCCTGGGCGTGGTAGGTGGGAGTTTTCTGTCATCCAAGTCCAGTCTCAGTCTTAGGCAGGCCCTTTGCTCCTGGGCTTGGGGGTGGAATTTCTTCCTGATTCGGCCTTCCTCCGGCAGTAAGAGACCTCTAATGCTCTGGGGCTTGGGTGGTTTCTCGCCTCTCCTCCAGGGATTGTGGTCGTTTGTTCTTCCTTTCCCCAGCTGTAGTATGTCTTCTGTGCCCTAGGGTTGATAGGGTTTGCTGCCCTTTTAGAGTGTCTTTTGTTCCACTGGGGAGAAGGCTCTGGATGGCGCTTTGTGCCCCACTTTCTACAGCTCCCTCCTCTAGGCCTGCACCGCCCCATCCTCATTCTTTCTTGTGAGCACCTGGTGGAGGTCCATGAAGACCATCTGAGTGGGTGCAAACTTCCCATGTCTGTGGCTCCGGAGCATTTTGTACTCATCCACCCTCCAGAATTTAGCAGTTTGTAAGAAATTTTAGCCCAGTTCTTACCAGTTCATATGGCGTTTGTCATTTCTTTTCCTATCATCTGCTGTGATGAACCAGTTGCTCACACTGTCTCTGCCTGAAGGTGCCCATCTTTCTCTAGGTTTTAAGCTACTTGATTACTCTGGAGCTTCAGCTCTCTGATAGATTCAGGAATATGATTTCGTACATTATTTGTCTTTTTCTTATTATTAGGGTGCAAACAACACCCTGTCTACTGTTCTTTATTTTAACCTAGCATCCAGGCCCTTTCTGGTATATTTTTCAAATCTGTGCCTGATCCATGTCTCCTTCCCTTTTCCTCCTTAGGTATCATATAAGCAGTGCTGATAGAACTATGTGTTTGAGTTTTTTCATAATCTGTTCATATATAACTAAATTTTACTACTAATAAAATATAATTGTATAAAGATAGCTTTCAGACTATTCTGTTCCCAAGAAGCAGTATAGATTCTGATTCATAAATTTACTTATCCTGTTGCTGCTAATAAATAGGAATAATGGTAGTAATATGATAAATAGCAGTAGCTCACATTTATCATATTTCCTATTTGGTAGGCATTAGGCTGAGTACAAGTAATATTCTGTCTGGTGGGTTACCTCCCCTCTCCAGGGAGACAGCTTGTTGTTGGTAATTGGGGTGGTTGCACAGAGCATGAGCAGGTGGACTTAGCTTCCTCTGTCCTCCAGAACCTCTGGTGGCAGCACAGTTGCTGGTGACACTGTAGACTCAAGATAGATTCTCAGAGTGGGGAAGGTATAGCTCAGTGGTAGAGTGTGTGCTTAGTATGCACAAGGTCCTGGGTTCAATCCCCAGTACCTCTATTAAAAATAAATAAGTAAATAAACCTAATTACCTCCCCCCACCAAAAAAAAAACACCTAAAAATAAAATAAAATAATTAAAAAAAAACCTTTACCTAAAAAAATCTAAAAAAAAAAAAAAAGAGATTCTCACTAGATTTGAGAAACCTCATTCTTACTGCCCAGCAGTCCTTTAGTACTCAGGAATTATGTCACTATTCAGGAAGAGTTTACATGAACAAGTGATACCTTTAATAAGACATACTTATGTACATCCAGGACCCTCCTGGCTCTTGAGTCAGACTCATTTGTGGGGAGAAAGCAGATCAAGGACCTTCCTGAACATGTTTTTTTTTCCTGCCTGAAACTTCCCAGTGGTCCAAGAAGCCTGTTCTCTTCCCACACTTGTGTTTTCTTCTTTTCACAATGGCCTCATGATACAGATAATGTGCTTCCTATTTTACATAGAAGAAATTGAGATTTAGAAGCATTAAGTGATTTGCTTATTGTCCCCCAGCTCATAAGTGAGCAGGAGCAGGGTTCAATCCAGGCTGTGTTGTGATGTGCTTTACCGTGCCTGAAGGTACAGCTTGAACCCAGGTACAAAACCCCTATAGTTGAAGGGTTGTGTTTCTAAATCAATGATGGTGCATGTTCCATCTAGCTTATTTTATTTTAGCTTTGAAGAGAAAATACTGATGAAATCTTTGGGTGAAATGCCTATATCTAGAAAAATAGATAGGAGGCAATTTCCTAAGGCCTTGAATCAAGGTCTGATATTGCTGGACCTTAGATGTCACGCCATAAGGGCTGAAAACTGGAATTGAAATGAAACAATCGGCCCTTGTACCTTCCCCAGCATCTATGCTTCCTTTCTTTTAGGTCTGAAAATAGCTTGTCTGTATGACTCTAGGTAAATGAACAGCTGGACTATCTTTAGTAGTGGACATCTAGAAAGTATTGCAGGTCTGATGGTGTCAAAGTCAGGTTCTTCTGAAACTGATGGGAGAGTCTGATATTCTTTACAGTTGTAATTTCACAATCTGTCAGCAAGAATATGTGGGTGAAGTGTGCCAGCAGTGGAAATAGTAGAAGGAGGTAACAGTTGTTGGTAGTTAATTCTTGGGTGCAATTTGTTCTCCGGTTGGTATTAATAAGGTTATGTATTTGTGTTTGATACTAGAAAGGGCAAGCTACTTGCATTAGCATGCAGGTTTTGCCTTTTTCTGGTTTGCAAGAGGGTCCAGTAAGAAAATGTGTGTGAATTAGTACAGACTCACCACCAGTTTTAGAAAAGTAACTCAAAAACCATGCTTTACTTAAAAAGAAAGAACCGAAAGCACAAAAGAAACAAAACAAGTCCCCATACTTTATTAATGATGGGATATTTGTGTCATGGGTACACTTTGAGACTAGCATTTAATACAGAGAGAGCTTAATTGTAACTGTTATATGACATTTATTAAATGATTTAATAGAAAGCATTCCTTTCTCTTTTCAGAACACCTGAGATGAAATACCAGTCTTGTTAAGTTCAGAGAATTTTCAAGTTATTTTAATCTTTGTGGCTCTCTTTTCTTTTTTTTCAAGCTCCCAATTGAAGACTTGTGCAGTTTAACATCCCGTTCGCTGCCCATTGCACATTCTTCAATAGTGCCCGAATCCACGGAAGACATTCTCTTGAAGGGTTTCACCTCCTTAGAAATGAAAGAAGAAAGAATCGAAACTGCACAGCAGGTGAATGGCAGTGTTATTTCTAAAGATGCTTGATTATTTTAAATGTCTCAGTAAAATAAGGCTAGTAAAAAAGGTCCTAATCAAAAGTTCTGAACATTTGAAATTATAGTTAAAATTAAATCTTTACAGAACATTCTTAATTTTGTGTTGTGGCTGTTTCATAAGTGAGTTTTTGGTTGTTTTTTTTTTTTTTAGTTGTGAGCCACTTTTTTAAAATTGAAGTATAATCGATATACACTATTTCTGAAGTGTTTAAAATGAACCTGTTGCCCAATTTTATTTGCAATGCAGATGAAAATACGATATTCCATTTTGGATGTTGGTAGACTTGTTATACTTATTAAGGTTTTGATATCTTACATCCTTTTGACCTCCTCCCAGTGTGTGTCTGTGTGAACATGTCCTCCCAGTATACATATGTATGTGCACTTGCACACATGTGGACCCCCACGCACATGCCTCTCTGCTAGATGATTTCTTTAAAACCTCAGTATTCTCTTTAGCTGAACATTTAGAGTTATTTTTCAGTCATTTATAGTGTGTAATCTTCTCTTGATTTTTGCTTATTCCTAACTATAAATTTAAATATGCAGTAATTTCTTCTGCCACTTCCTCTGTCTCCTCTTTCTGTCCTGTTAAGAATCAAAGCTGAGACATTTGTCAAGTGAACCACAAAGCAACTGTGCTGAATTGCATATACAGTAAGTCGAGAGGGGCAGTGCTGCCAAGTGGTGGAGACCGTCAGCTCTTGAGTTAGGCCTGGATCTGAAAGTCACCTCCATCACTTCCCATCTTTGTGAGCCTAGGCAGATTACTTCTCAGGTCTTTAGTTTCCTAATGTGTAAACCAAGGATAATTATATACTTAGTTCATAGGACTTTTGTGAGAATTAAATCAGGTAATGCATGTAAATGCAGTATGTAGCAGGCAGACAATCAGCGTTCAGTAAACGGAAGCCCAGATACTTGGCATGCCTAATATCTTGAAAGAATGAAGCATACCTTTAACTTCGAATCGCACTTGAGAATTATAAAAGATACTCTTGCACTATGTCTCTGAATTTATTTGAACTATTTGAAAAAAAACCTTCTGGATTAAATTTGCACTTGCATATCTCTCTTTAAATTAAAAAAAATCCAATATATTGAGTTATAATTTACGTACAATAAAATGTACTCATTTTAAGTATACGACTTGTTGGTAGGCCCAGAATTCAAACCCAGGTTTAGCTGATGCAAAGGTCCGTGTTCTTAAACCACTTTTTTGTATTATTTTTGAGTGTTTATCTTTGCAATTATTATTACATAACATTAATATTAATATTTACCCAAAGCCCTGTGTCACCTACTCAAATTTGGCAAACTAGCAAGTAGGCATTAGCCTCTTAGGAAGAAATATTTCTTTCTGCATATTATCTTGTTAATACTCTTCCTTATTTGACTCTGAAAATGGCCAGTGTTTTTAATATCCTTTGCCTTTCCTAGCATGTAGATACTGACTGTGCAATTAAATTATCAACTCCTGGCTTAAAACTATTAATGTCTGAGCCTGGAACAATAAGACTTAGTGCCTACCCTTTTGACTTGCTGTTTAGCATGTAGCCACTTTTCATTTTGTCTGTTTTAGTTTTTTGACAACATAATACTCTCTTTTTCCAGTTCTTCTCATGGTTTGCAAAGCTGCAAACTCAGATGGATCAGGACGAAGAAACTAAATATAGGTATGTGGCTCTTGCATTTGTCGGCTATCCTCTGTTTTAGATCCTCTGAAGCATTTTGTAATCTGTGTCTTTAAATAAAATTAAGGGACAGAGAAAGCTTGAACATTTTCTTTAAGAATAGCTAGAGAGGATTTGGGTCATTACAACTGGTATTGGAAGTTGTGTGATTAAAAAAGTTACATTGTAATTAATAGGTTAAGGGGGCAGACATTGATTTTTAGATAACTCTAGAAATTCTTGGGATCAAGTGGGAGTTTTGCAGGAACTTTTAAGAGGTGTTTGTTGTCTTTCTTTGGAGGGAGAGAGACTTAAGTGATGGCCAGCTAGGCTCGGTGTTAACTGTGTTGTTCTCTTTGTGTGTATTGTCGGCATGGAGGAAGTAACCATGGTTTCTAGCTGATTTGGGGACTGTGGGTTGAATATTTGCATTAATTAACGTTAATTAAGTGACTACTATCGCTAGGCATTGTGTTGGGCTCTTTGATGTGTGATTCCATTTCATCTTTATAGCAGCCCTATGAGGAAAGGTATTGCTATGTCCATTTTGCAAATGAGCAAACTGAGGCCTGGAAGTATTCTGTACTTGCCTAATGTCATGGATACTTGGGCAGAGCTAGGACTTGGACTCAGGTTTTCCAGTTCCAAATCCAAAATTCTTTCCATGACATCACACCATCTTTCAAAGGCAGAAGGATGGACCTACTTGATATCTTGGGCTGGCCCTGGTGTTCCAGTCTTGTTTCAGTCAATTTCCTTCTTAAGTATTTTCCTTCTTATGTAATTTTTCTTCATAAGAAACAGTTTGTGACATAGTTTTTGGTACATTTCTGAATGTAATAAACTTTGTGAATATGTCAGACTTTCCTTCTGAAATTCAGGCATTTGGGGGAAAATGAGACCTTGTTGTTTTTTGTGTATGCTTATTGGGGGAAAATATTATTGCCAATCCCCTTTTGGTTCTGTTTTCTAGACAGATGAGGGATTACTTGTCTGGGTTTCAGGAGCAGTGTGATGCTATATTGAATGATGTAAACAGTGCTCTTCAGCATCTGGAATCATTGCAGAAACAGTATCTTTTTGTGTCCAATAAGACAGGAACCCTGCATGAAGCCTGTGAACAGCTCCTGAAAGAACAGGTAATTTGAAATAGGAAAGTCAGTGATTATATTTAGTATTTTATTTTAAAGTAGATAAATATGATTTAATTGTAATTTAAAAAATTTCTCCAAGTATATTTTGAACATTGCTCTGTATGAAGCCCTGTGCTAAGCATGCAGATGATTACTTTGACAGCCTTTTAAGCTTATGTGAGCAGGGGCAAGGGCAAGCTTTCCTGTGTTTTGAGCTGTTAACGTCTCAATACAGTTTCATAGTGAAGAGGATATATTTGCTCTGTCTGCTCTTTATTATTGACACTTTTCAAACAAGGCATAGTGGTTGTAGTAATGGTGGGATTTATGAAAAGATGAACTGATCTAGGTTGCACTTAAATGTGTGACTTAAAGATATAATATTTAAGATACTATATGTCAGAGTTTTCTCTATGTGTTATTTTGTGTGTGTTTTTTAAAGATAATCATCTTTTATTTTATAAAAAGATCATAGATAATTTACTGTAATAATCATTGCTTTATTTTTAGTCCATCATTGCAGAAGTCTTGGAGCATTATTCTGAAACTGTATATCTAATATAAACCTGTATGTCTAATATAAATCTCTTCAATGTAATTTTGAGACTGAAGTGTTGATTCTTATGTTCTCATAATAATTGATTTTTCTGTTTTAAAAAATGCAAGTCGGAACTTGTTGATCTGGCTGAAAATATTCAACAAAAGCTTTCCTATTTTAATGAATTGGAGACTATTAGCACAGTAAGCATTGTTTTTTTTTTTTTTTAAATTAGTGACTTTATATTTATTTCCCTTTCTGAGTATAATCTTTAAACTTATAAATTGGTTTGAGTGATATTTTAACTTAATGATTTTTTATGTGTTTCTGGCTCGTAAATTAATCATCACAACTACATATGAGTTGTTATTAAATTTATTAATCTTAATTATTATAGTTTACTAAAGAGATAGAAATAAAATTAGTAGCCAGTTAACAATGGAATGCAGTGGGAAATAGTTCATTCCCAAACTATTTGTATATCAAAATAAGAAATATTTGACTTTACTTATATATATTGTATAGTTTTATATATTTTAATATTTTATATATAACTTACCCATTATATTAAATTATTAACTATATTTATATTATATATTACCTATGTTTATGCTTATTATTACTTATATAAGTTTACTTGCATTTTACCTGTATATATTGTATTTTTACTTTCATAGCGACTACTAAACATGACTGCTAGTTAATCTTTTACCCTTGAGAAAATAGCCAGCATTTGCAAGTGGAAAATTTATGTTGTAAAGACTAGAAAATGGGAAATCTAGGTCCTTGATGTATTATTTTAATATAACATTGTACAGTAGAGTATAAAATGTTTGCTAATTCATGAAGGACCCCATTAAAGCTCATTAGGAATAAACTGAGTTAAATCCATATTCTTTTTAATTTGTCCTTTCTTCTTTGTATTGCTATGTTTGAGGATATTTGGTGACTCTTAAAATGTAAAAAAAAATTTTTCTTTTCCTTAAAGAAACTGAATTCTCCCACATTGTCTGTGAATAGTGAAGGATTTATACCTATGCTGGCCAAGTTAGATGATTGTATAACGTATATATCATCTCATGTAAGTCATGGTATTTCTGTATGTTTTTAAGAAATCTTAACATCCCTATTATATAGAGTAATTATTTCTTCCAAAGGGAAAGAGATATCTGTAATATACTTGAAGAAAAATTGTAGTGAACTCATAGTCATTGTCAGTAGCGATGTAAAAAGTACTTTGAGCTACTGAGGCAGCTCCTGGAATAGAGAAAGGGCCTGGATGACACAGGTTTATTCTATCTAAAACGACGAGTGATTTTCAGACTGTTGACTTCCTGTTTTGCTAGATACTTCTTTGGAAACAAAAATATTGCTTGGGGTGGGAGAAAGGGACAGGTCCATTGATTTAATCGCCATCTCTCTCTCTTTCCTCCAAGGATTTATAGCTGTATTTATTTCACTGAACTCCTATACTTTTCCTAGTTGGGCCTCATGTATTAGCCTTGAAGTCTACGGGGTACTGAAAATATACATGCCAGGCACAGGGGATTTGGCTGTGACCAAGACAGTCACAGTATTTGTCTTCAAGGAGTTTAAGATCTACATAGGACCTTCTTTTGAACTTTATAGATAACTTTACATAAAGAACAAGTTGGTTTTCATCAAAAGTTTGCTTTGTTAATGTTTGTTTCGTCTTTGTAATTTTATCCCTTTCCTTTACAGCCAAATTTTAAGGATTATCCTGTATATTTACTGAAGTTTAAGCAATGTCTTTCTAAAGCTTTGCACCTCATGAAGACATACACTGTGAACACACTACAGAACCTCACAAATCAGTTATTAAAAAGGGTGAGTTAACTGGTGAGGTGTTGAGTTTTTTTGGATTCATTCATCTTCCATAATCTTAGTCTGAGATTAGTACCTAGTAACTCCAATTTTTTTTAACATTTTGTTAAATAAGAATATGCATTCTAATTTTATTTATAACAGGAAAAAAGGCTATATTGTATATGCCCATCACAGTCTTATTTTCAAAGAGTATTTAACAGTGTGAGAAATGTTCAGGACTGTATGATAAATGATAAAATAAGATACAAACTGTTTGTCACTTAAAAATTTTCTTTGCCTATCTTTTTCAAGAAAATACTGGAAGGAAATACACCAAAATAATAAAAGTGGTTCTGTTTGTGTGGTAGGATTATATATGGTGGATAATTTGAATTTTTTCTTTACAAATGATGGATAATTTAATTTTCTGTATTTAGCAAATATATTCTTACTGGGTGCCTCCTAAATGCTTGATATTGTACTAGGAAGTGTATGATAATGAAAGGAGCTAGCAAGGTCCCTGCCCTCATGGAGCTTATATGCAGGAGAAATAATCACTAACGAAGGAAACAGATGAATTAATCAATTACAGATTGTAGTAGATACTAGGTGTAAAATTAGCAGAGTTTCAGAAAATAAGAGTGGAGCTAGCTAGGATGGTCATTGAGCACATTTCTTTCCTAAGAAAATAGATCCATAAAAATAATGTTATTTTATTTTTTAAGCTTACTTTCTAAAGAACATGGAATATCTTTTTGAGCTTTCAGTTCAAAGCCACTGGTTTTTGGATTGTATTTACCTTGCACATTGTTCTTAGCTGATGTAAAGACAGACTATAATTTTTCTATTTTGTAAAATTTTGAATAAGTTTGGGAAATTAATACCTAATAAATACTTGTACTTAGTATGTGTTAGTGCTTTAAAACCTTTGTAAGTATATAATATTGCCATTCAATAGATGTACTGAATCTCAGGGAGGTTAATTTGACCAATGTCCTACACTCAGTAAGTGGCGGAGTAGGAAACTGAAGTCTTTTTACCACTAAAATTCATGTAATTTAGGATAAATTTTAATTATAAAGAGGAGAGAGATGACAGTTCCACATAATTATTTCTCATTTATAGCGATAATAATGTTTAGTCTTTCTTTGAGATTTTTCTCCATAAATTTTTGGTTGCTATGTAGGCCAAGCAGTAGACATATGAAATGGTTTGTGTCGTATGTTCTGAATAGTTATTTGTTTGTTGATTATCTTTCTTCTCTATTCTTCCCCATATTTCTTCAGGATCCTTCATCTGTACCTAATGCAGATAATGCTTTCACACTATTTTATGTGAAATTTCGAGCTGCTGCCCCCAAAGTCAGAGTAAGTCTATTGATGTAAATAGGGTATTCTATGAAATTTATTTAGCCAACCGTTTTGAAGTACTACTGTGTGTTAGATCCTTTGCCTATACCAGGAAAATGAATATGAATGAAAGGTAGGCTTTGTCCTTCCACATTACAGCAGTGTATGTTGTGGTGCTTGGGACCACAAAGCAGGAAACACCTAGTTCTTCCTGTGATGCTCAGGGAAGGTTTCCAGATGAAGGTGGTATTTGAGCTTAAAAGGCTTGGTTTGTAGTGGACTTGAGGGAATTGAGAAGGATATTTTACACAGAACAGCATTTATAGGGAAGATTGTAGGGACATAAAAGACATGTAGTTTGGGAGAGTCATGTAATTTGGCATGACTGGAACATGAGACTTAACTAGGGCATGATGGGAAAGAAGAAAGGAAAGACCACAAAGACCATCTCACAAGGGGTGTTACAGGTCATGCCAATTCAGGAAAAGTGGAGAACCAGTGCAGTATTTTACACGGGAGAGTGATTTGGTCAGGCGTGCCATTTAATAAGACTAAGGATGCAGAATGAAGAATGGATTATGGTGAAGAGAGATTTGACAAATAGAGGCCTGATTAACAAGAAGATTTTTCAGTGGTCCAGGTAGAGCTTGTGTACCTTATTCACCCTCTTGAGCACAGTGTCTGGTACATAAAGGAATGCACAAAGTGTTTAACTTGATTAAGTGATTGGAAATGGAGTTTTGATATATGTGTTATATATTGGAATAGTTAATGACATACCCGAGATAACAGCTGACTGGAGCTGGTACATTTTTTTTTTTTTTTTATCATTATGAAGTTACTAGCATGAGTAGTCTACTTTGGCTGACTCTGACCTCACTCTTTCCTTATTTCCTTCTTGAAAGTCAGTGGGAAGGAGTTTTTGTTTTTTGAAGTAGGAACTGGGTCATGTTTAGAAAAGATACAGTGGTTAGTTGATGGTTTGAGGTTTAGAGTATGCCAGATTGGTTGCTTTTGCTTATTAGTCAGGTAGCAGTGATAAAGATTTGATTAGAAAAGAAATGATGTAGATAAGAGGGCTCAGTGGTAGGTGAATGTAAAATGATTATGTAGTTATCAGTGGCTTTCCTGCATACCATTAGTAACCAGTTAGCACATATGATGAGGTCCCATTTATATAAGTGACAGAAAGCATAAAATACTTACCTAGAAATAACCTTAATGGAAATAGAAGTATGAAGAAAATAACAAAACTAGAAAGAAAACCATAAAAGATTGAATAAATGGTAAGCCTGTTGTGTTCCTGGTTGGGGAGACTTAATTTTTATTTATTTTTAATTAAAAAATTTTTATTGAAGTATAGTGATTTACAATGTTGTATTAAGACAGTTTTTAAAATGTCAGTTCCTCCTGGTGTAATTTATTGGTTAAATGTAATCCTGTCAAAAATTCCAATGGAATTTCCTTTTAGTTGATCTTAAAATTCCTTTGGTAGTTTAAATAAGCAAGACTAAACAAGAAAAATTTGAAAAATAAATTGATACTGATTTAAGAATTCTGATGGATCATTAGAATGGAAAATTCTATAACTGTATATAAAGAAGCTTCTCAAATCTAAGAGGAAGGGCTGAAGTTTTCTACATTGTATTGGGAAGATTTGCTAAGTATTTGGAGGGGGGGAAAGTAAGCTCCTCACTTCATGATGTTACCAGAATACATTTTAAGTGAACTAAAGAATTAAATGTAAAAATAA